AGGCTCCTGCAGGACTGGGGGAAACCCAGAGGGAGTTCTTGACTCCTGGCTTCCAGTTGGCACTGGCTCTGCCATTGCAGCCATTTGGGAGAGCGAAACAGTAGAGGCAAGGTCTGTGTTTGTGTGTCCCTCCATAGACCCTGGGCCGGGTAGCCCTGGCCACAGGGAGGCACACACAGGGCCAGGGCTCAGCCAGCCTTCCTCTGGCTCATGGCAAGGTCCAAGTTCTCCATAGCTGGGGAGTTAGGGGTTACAGGATCTCCAGGGCATTTGCTCACTACGTGTCAGTCAAAGGAGCTGGAAGATGCAGTGGGAAGAGTGACTGGGTGGGCAGAAGTCCACAGACGTCGGAGCAGGTGCCTGGCACGTGGGCTGGGCCTGGCGACCTCTGTCCTGGTTCAGGGCAGTCTTCGGTCTCTGCCCTCTTTCCTAGACCCTCAGAGCTTTGCTTTGCTCATGGGGTCCACTCCTTAGCCAGTGGAGCCCACTGGACTGTGTGCAGGAAAATAACCATGCAAGCGGACAGAATGAGGACTTGAACCTCCCTAAAGGAGCTTGGTTTAGAACACTGTCCTCCAAATGGCTTCGAGGTCATGGCACCACATGAACTCACTGACTGCTTTTGCTTCTTGACCGGTGGCCTTGAGTGGGGCCCACAGTGCCTCCACAGTCGAGGAAGTAAACCAAAGTTGGCCGCCTCCCCTTTGGCAATTTTCTTTTTACACGCACACTTAACATCCTGGGTCATAATTTCCTTGACTCAAAATCAAACAGTTTTGCCTCAAAGGCAGCATGTTCTAAATGTGACCTTGTTTTGTTTGCTCAGGAAGAACAGAAAATTGACCAGCTGTCATTCATTACACGTTGGTGGCTGCCCGGTCTTTTGCTGCAACTATGTCTGTCTGCTAATTCATTATTGAGAGTGAAGAATTAATTTTCTAAAGTAAATACTGGGAAAGGAGCCAAGGCATGCGAGCCTTGATGGTGGGTCCTGTGCAACTGACTTAAGGCAAAGCTTGGTCTAAATTCGCAAAAAATCTGAACTGCAATCTTCAAAGTACATAGACTTGCAAGATTGGCCAGGGAGCAAGCAGCAGGCAGGCCTGGGGTTGGTTTGGAAGGGCCTACTCACGACGACACGTGCCTGTTTTATGATTTGTTGTTAGAAAAGCTAATCTAAAAGTGCTTCAGAATTCTCAGAAATATTTTATATTGTTGAAAGTTTTGTTTATTTTGCAAGGCAGAGTTATAGAGAGAGAAGTGGGGGAGGGAGGGCCGAGGTAGAGAGAGTCCTTGCGCTGACTGACTTTCCACATAGCCACGTTCAGTCAAGAACTTGACCTTCATCTCTCCTGTGGGTGCCATTGCTCTTCCCAGGCCGTGAGAAGGGAGCTTGATTGGAAGTGGGGCAGCTGGGACACAAACCGGCTTTCCTGCGCCGCGACGCTGGCCTCTTTCAGAATCAGCTTAAACATCCTCACCTTTGCATTTGTTTTGAAGGGAATGTTTGCACGGAAGCGGTCGGCCTGCTGTGAGGCAGTTATTAGAAAGCTAACGGAAGGTGTTCTTCTGGGTTATGGCCATGGCATCTTCAGCCTAGAATCTAACAACACGTCTACGTTTAAGAAGCATGTTAGGGAACTCATTTCTCCTTCAGTCTACCGTCCACACTGCAGCGTGGTGATCCTGCCAGAAACATCTCGTAAAAACCAGTCGGAATTTCTCATCAGCTTTAGTGTCAAGTCCAAAAACTTCAGGAGGCTGGCCAGAGCCAGCTGCGGCCAGGCCAAGCTCTGCTCCCCTCCCAACACCTCTGCTGTGCCTGTGACCCCTCCTGCCTGCAGCCACACTTCCAAGCTCCGAATGCTACCCCAGCTGACAACTTTTCCACTCTGCCCTCTCCATTCCCCAAGACAGAGCCCAACCTCAAACCCAACTGTGCCCCATGGCAACACGCTGCCTTTGTTTTATTGTCTCTCCAGCAAGAGGAACTAGCCACATGGAATACAGACGTGCAGCTACTTGATATTCCCAATGCTCAGCAGTCAACCTAGTCAGTGGCTACCCTCGGGACAGCACAGAGAATGTTCCAGAAAATTCTAGACTCTGAGTGCCTTGGGTGCCGAGGAGAGTCATTTAACACTGCAGCCCCAGGATTGAGCTAGTGGCAAAACCATCTCTCAAATGAAACCAACGGAACCTCCAGGGGACTGTCATCAGGAAGGTCTGACCAGGAGTGCTTGCTGTCAGAGGTCTGGGGTGCATGTCTCTGGCCAAGGTCCCATTCCAATGGGAGAATGGGACCCCCACCTGCTGGTCTGGCACGCATACCACCAATCTGGCAGATGGGGTGAGGTCTCTGCAGTCCCTCTGGGGGCCTTCACTTTATCTGCCCAGTCCTGGAGACTCCCGATTGGAGGAAGGGAAGGCCAAAAGGCTGAAGATGGCTTCTCAGGTTCTAGGACCTGCGGGCCGGGAAGGGCAGTGCGAGCCCCACCATTTCTGGGGTCTTTGCATGTTTGGAGGAGAGGAGCCGAGAGACCTGTTCTCCGGCCGGCCGGCAGCTGGGCTCTGCGGCCGTGCGGAGCCTTATTTCCTGACGATGGCTTTGGCAGCCACGCTCTGCATTGTTCATTACCCGTGAATAGGCCCGACTGTGTGCAGAATCGAAGCTGAAATGCTGTAAGCCAGGGCCTCTCTCCACATCACAGAGGAAGCTGGGAACTAGACCAGCTGCAAAACCTCCTTTCCTTGGGAAAATCCCCTCCCCATTCCAGGACCCAGAATGAGAGCTGGGTCTTTAAGAGCGGGCATGTGTGGGGAGCATCTGCGAGAGAGAGAGAGAGAGAGAGAGAGAGAGAGAGAGAGAGAGAGAGATATGACCTCGGAGGTCAAACGTAAGAAGCTGGGCTGAGGGAAGCCCAGTGACTGGCTCGCGACACCTGGTTTCATCTGATTTATTCTGCTTCCTTCCACGTGTGGACATGCAGGAACGACCCACAGGCACACACACACTGCCAGCCCAGTCCTCCTGGCAGCACTGTCATTCCCCTCAGTGTCAGAGGGGCTTCTTGCATCTTTGTGTCAGGAACACAGCGGGGTGCACGGGCAGAAGTCTCAGCTGGGAGATGACCCCGCGCTGGTCTGTCCCAAGCCTGTGCCAGGTGGCTCTTTATGAACCCCACTTCTCTGTCATCTGGTCCTCTGGCCCGGCCTGCTCTTGATGCAGCCCAGTGCCATCTCACACTCCTGGAGAGATGTCAGCACGTGGCCTTGGCGCTTGGCACGTACCCATCCTCATTGCTCCAGGCTGCAGCTCAGCAGGTGCTTCTGGGACTGCTTCGGGGCTGGAGATGAGGGGTGGGGTCCCTTTTCTCCCTCCCTTGCCCCACCGGAGGCGGAGTGAATAGGGCAGTAATGGTGGCATCGCTGGATTGGGGCTACAGAGGGTGGCTGAGGCGTGTGCTAGATGGGGCTGACAAGTACTGAGCAGAGAGCATCTCGGGACTGGCTGTCGGCCCTCAGGGAGCTGTGCGGCTGCTACCGGTTCCCTGGCAAAGCTCCCCAGGCTCTTTAGCAGCCTGTCCAGGTCCTGCTGGGCAAAGCATGAGTGAGTCAAGGAGCTTCTGCACTGGGGAGGAGGTGCCAGTTATTCAGCACCTGGCAGTGAAGTTTGCAGGGAGTGGAAGAGGGGGGTGATGAGGACTCAGTGACTCCTGCGGAGACTTAACCCTTCTGTGAGGGCAGGCACTTGGGGTGGGAGCTGGTCACAGTCCAGCAGCCGGTTCACACTGCAGTCCGACCAGTGGGCTGCACGCTGGACGTTAGGGTTTGCAGGCATAGAGGGCTTGGAAGGTGTCCTGGCCCTTTCCGACCCCCAACCACCTCCTTTGGCTGTAAAATGGGGACCTGGCTGTAGGCTTCAGGACTCCACATTTTGTTGACAGGCTTCTCTCACTAGCTTCCTCCCCTTTTCAGTTGCTAATCACAGCCAGCTGGAAGCCGGGGCCGGGGGGCCTCGGTAACCTGAGGCACCTGCCTTCCCAGCACTGCCCTTACCAAATGCGGCTGTGGGGTCCAGGCAGCCGGACTGGGGCCTCCCATATCTTTCTCCTGCCCACAGGACTGCTGGGACTCCAGTCTCTGCCTTTAGTCCGAGGGGCCTCTCTGGGCCCTGGATGCTAGCACACTCGGGAGAGGCTTTCTTGTATTTGAGTTTCACTTTTCGAGCTATTTTCATTATATAAGGGACGTGTGCACAGGGAGCTACCCAAAGGCAGGCAGGTGGGAAGGTCCTCTCCTCGGTTTCCAGCCCTCAGATGCGAGTCGGGCGCGACTCTGGCCCTGGGGTAGCCCTTGCTCCAAAGGATGGAAATCAAAGGCGGGTGTGTACACTTGGTAACCAAAACGCTTCGCCTCACCATGCCGTGAACAAACCTCCACGGGAAAGCGCGCCTCCCTAGGCTCCCGCCGCACCGATGGCGCGCACGGAAACTTCCGAGGACAATCAGACACCTGCAGCCCCGCGCTCCGCGGCGGCTCGCAGGCCCCAGGGTCGCGTCCCCGAGGTTGCGCACCGGGGTCAGCTCCAGCGCGTGACCGCGGCCAGTGGGGCACACACGCGCTGCCGGGTGTGTCCTCAGCACCCCGATTTGCGGGAACTTTCTCGGGCGTCGGCCCGCGGAGTGGCTGCAGGGTTCCCTTAGTAGCCCATCCCGGCAGTTCCAGGGTCGTTTTTCTTGGCAGGGGAACTGGCGGGAGGCGAATTCGCGGGGAGTGTAAACCTGGAACCCGAGCCCCGCGAGGGGGCGGCTCCGCCTCGCCCGAGCCCCACCGCGCCCCGGCGCCGCCCGCCCTGCCCCCGCCGCGGGCGGGCCCGGCTCCAGCCGCCCGCCCTCCTGCTCGCCATCCGGCCGGCCCCCCTCCCGGGCGCCGTGCCCGTCCCCAGGGCGGCTCGTCACGGCCGCGAGGCCAATGGGCTGGCCCGGCCGGCCGCGCGCACTCGCACCCGCTGCCCCCGAGGCCCGCCCGAGCTCTCCCCGGCACCGCTCTCCGGCCCGCGCCCAGCCCGCCGCCGTCGGAGCCGCCATGCAGTCCGCCCGCACCGTGCTCTTCGTTCCGTTGCTGCTGCTGCTGCTGCTGCTGCTGCCGGCGGCTCCCGCCTGGGCGCAGCCACCGCGGGCCGGCCGCTCGGCGCCCGCCTCCACCGGCCCCGCCGCCGGCTGTCCCGAGCGCTGCGAGCCGGCGCGCTGCGCCCCGCCGCCTGCCAACTGCGAGGGCGGCCGGGTCCGCGACGCCTGCGGCTGCTGCGAGGTGTGCGGGGCGCCCGAGGGCGCGGCGTGCGGCCTGCAGGAGGGCCCGTGCGGCGAGGGGCTGCAGTGCGTGGTGTCCTTCGGGGTGCCTGCCTCGGCCACGGTGCGGCGGCGCTCGCAGGCCGGCGTCTGCGTGTGTGCCAGCAACGAGCCGGTGTGCGGTAGCGACGCCAACACCTACGCCAACCTGTGCCAACTGCGTGCCGCCAGCCGTCGCTCCGAGAGGCTGCAGCAGCCTCCGGTCATCGTCCTGCAGCGTGGAGCCTGCGGCCAAGGTACCCCAGCGCGCCCCGGGCGGTTCCCCACGCACTCCGTTCTGGCCGGGGACCTGTCTCCGGGGGACGGGAGGGCAAGCAGGGGCCACCAAACTTTGCGAGGACGTTCGGGATACTCTGTCACGGGGACTGGCAGGGAGGCAGGGGACCCTGGGGTGGCAGTGCTCCGTGGGCTCGCTTGGAACTGCACTTTATGCCCAGGCCGGGATCGGTGACGCCACCGCAGCGCCCCGTGGTCCGGAGCCGGTAGGAGCGTCCCGCCTGTGGCTACCCTTGGGTCCTCTGCGTGGAGAACCACGATGCGTGCGGGACGCGGAGCATGTGGGCATATGGAAAGGAGTTGAGGACCGGGAAGGGGGCTTGATACGAGCATCCTGGGGAACTCCGGGAACGCCTTCTGTTGCCTTCCCTTCTCTCTACTTTCACCTCCTCCGCGTTAAAAAGGAACCCCGTGTGGCTTTGATCACGTAAACTCTGTAAAAGCGTTTTCAAGCCTTTGGAAGGGCTCACAGCTGCGCGGCCATCCCCGCGGTTTCCCCCAGATGGGCTCCCCGGGGACAGGGCCGGTGCTGGGGAACCACAGGCCTTTCCGCAGCGGGAGGCGCTGGCACTGCCCAGCGGCCGCTCTCCTTGTTTTGAGCCAATCGGACCAAAATAAAAGTGACTGTTTTCGCACAAGCTCATGGGTTTGGCCGATGCTGGCTGGATGTGGAGGAAGTGTATCCTCCTCCTCAGGCATCTTTCCTGGGGATGGGGAAGAAGGGGGAGAGGGTGGTAGCCAGATGTCTCCCTCTCCCCGTAGGGAGAGCGAGATGGAGGGAAGATGCTTCCTCGTGGACCAATAGGGAGTTCATCTGGGCCGGGCCGGGCCAGCAGTGTGGGGATTGGCCAGCAGGCTGGGCAGTGCCCTTGGCCGGCAGCTGCTGTGTGCACCCACTGCCACCTGCTCAGGATAGATGGTGTGTGGAGAGAGGTGGGGGAGCCTAGCACAGGGCGGCTGGTATAGGTTCTTTGTAGGAATACCATCCGGTGTGACTAGCACAGGTTGGCTCCTGTGGAGTGGAAGGTGCCAGAATGGTGTAGGGAGGAAGTGCAGATGGGTTTCCATGGGCACAGCCCTCATGACACGACCTGGTCAGGGTAGAGAGCATTGTGACAGAAATGCACAGCCACTGAGTACCCAGTCAGAGTGTGCCAGATGTGCCCACTGTCACCTTAGCTGGCTTCCATGGCCTTCATTCCAGGCCTTCATTTAGGGAAATGGGGGCTGAATCACCCGGCAAGGGTCACTGTCCTGGATGGGAACCCAGCGGCCCTGGCACAGAGGCAGCCCATGGCTCAACCCCCCAGGCCGTGGGAAAGGGGCAGGCAGAGAGGGGTGGAGTTTTCCAGAAGGCTGGGAAGCGCATCCCAGTCTGCTTTAGGAGACTGGGTGTGTGTGGCCAGCAGTGGTGGGAGGCACTTTTGGGGAGGGCAGCAGGGGTGACCCAGGTTGGTCGCTAAAGAGGCAGGAGATCCTAGAGGGTGGCTGGTGTCGAACTCAACCTGGCAGTAGAGTGCAGAACGTGCCGGGGTTGAGGCCGCTGCTATCATCTGGGTGGTAGCGTGAGAACAGCCGGGTGTGTGGCAGACAAGCCGGCTGTCGCTGTCGCTCTGCGTCACCGGTGCTGCGTGATCTGCTTCATCGATTGCCAGGAGGCCGAGTCACTGACCAGCCTTGCTCAGCTGAGTTGAGTCACCAAGCAGAGAGAAACGGATCTTTCGCCGGCCATCATACCCACAGCAGTCTCCTGTGTGCACTGGCTTGGAGCAGTCCCAGAAGACCCGGCACCGGTGCCTTGCAGTGGAGGGCAAGGTGGGGGTGTGACAGCATCCTCAGTGTGTCTGCCTGGCACTTGGTAGGTTAGTGAGTGGGTAAGCAAATGGGTGGTAGCAGGATTTTGTGGCACACAGCCTCCATGGCTTGCCTTGATGGTGAGCATTGCTTTCTGTGCCCCTGTCCTTCCAGCACACCGCCCCTGGAGGGGTCTCTGCTGCAGTTGCCTGCGTCTGTGCGCACGGCAGGTCAGCTGACGTCATTGTAAGAGGAAGGCAGCTGGTGACCTGCTCCGGCTGGACAGATGGACGGCAGTTAGCAGGGCTCCCAAAGGGCTTCAGTTGAGTTAGAGGTGTGAAGTTGGTCACCTGTGCCAAGGTGAGCGGGCTTTGTGGTTTCAGATACTAGCTTGTTTGAGAAGCCACAAAGCTTGTGAGAACTTAGAGCAGGTTGTACCGGGGGAAGAGATGGGGCTGCCTTTAGACTGGGGGGTCACCGGGAGCGTGAGCAGGCCGTAGTGCCAGCACTGTCGCCTGCAAGGTGTTTCACAGGACTTCTCAGAATGTTCCGGAAACGAAGGCAAAGCTTCCGTTCCAGAAGCCGGTGTTGCTTTCAAGGTTTGACATGGAAAACCACTCAGTTATACCCGAGAGCAAAACCTGCCACTTCCCACTGTTAGTCACAGAGATTATGAAAAAATAAACAAGAGCCCGGCATGATTGCATAATGGTTAAGGTCCTCGCCTTGAATGTGCTGGGATCCCATGTGGTCACTGGTTCTAATCCCGGCGGCCCTGCTTCCCTGCCTGGGAGAGCAGTCGAGGACGGCCCAAAGCCTTGGGACCCTGCACCCGCGTGGGAGACCGGAAAGAAGTTCCTGGCTCCTAACTTCGAATCGGCACAGCACCTGCTGTTGTGACCACTTGGGGAGTGAATCATCGGGAGGAAGATCCTCCTCTCTGTCTCTCCTCCTCTCTATATATCTGACTTTCCAATAAAAATAAATAAGTAAAAAAAAATGGAATTGCGATTAGTGGTAGGTAAATGTTAATTTATTTTGTTTACTCTCTGCCAAGCATATCTTTTTTTTGTTCTCCCAGCCAGCCTATGTGGTGTGTGCTGAGGCTTCTCCATGCTACACCTGGCACGCAGTCAGTGTCCCTTGCGCAGGACCTGAACTCGTGCCTCTGGCAGTTCATTATAGACACTGTGCTGTGCGGTTGACAGAGTGATGGAGATTACGAGCTAACAGCTGAAATCGTCAGTGCTCAGATGGCCATGGTCTTGACAGGAAAGCCAGGACCAGTCAGGTTCCCACCCAACGGGGTCAGGAACACAGACACAGGGTTACCTCCAGTTGCTGTCCAGGCAACTCTGGCTAAAGAAAGGCAAGATGTGTGGTACAGGCTTTATCACGCTGCATCTCAGCTGCAGTCCCAGCGCCTGCAGCGCTGCAGAGGAAAGAGGGGTCCTTCCCAATTCCCAAACATTCCAAAAGCTCATCCGGGAAGCATGGTGCCAAGTGCTGAAAATGCATACAGGACCAGGGAAGACACCCGGACAAGATTGCCCAGAAGACAGAAACCTGGGCGCTTTCTCGCTGGAGTCCCCCTCCAGGGAGCCCACCCTGCCCCGGACAGCAGCCTGTAAAGATGCTGGGAGGTCCCCAGCTACTCCCCCATGAAAGCGTTCAGGGCACAGTTGCTCTGCTCTCAGCCCAAAGTCCCTGGGCTGTGGCTGGCTGTGCTTGGTGAAGAGCCGTGGTTTTAGGTGGTTGCTTTGCTTCCTGCTCCCCGGGTCAGTTTGTAAAATGTGCTTTCCTCTTGAGTGGCAGCCTTGAAGTGACCATGGAGGCTGGAACGAAGCAGTGGCTGTCCCCAGGAAGCTAGTATTTCACACCCTGGAAGAAAGCGCAGCGGTCGCTTGGGCCTAACCTAAAACTATTAAAATTCAGTGTGTGTTGGGGAGCCTGCCCATCGTCGGCCACTCAGACGCTGTCTCTTGTTGCCTCAGAAGTGTCCAGTGTCCTTGGGGACCAGCTCTCGGTCATTTTTGAAACATGGAAACTGTCAAAGGTCTTGAGCTGCGTGTGAGGTGTTGTTCCATTCTGATTGGCTACCTTCTTTTATTGCCCCACGGGTTTCACTGAACAGCTCGAACACGAAGGATTTGTAAAGTTAGTAAGTTAGTGGGATGGAGCGCCAAGCATCCGAGTTAGTTCACTGCATCCAGGAGAGCCGTAAATAGCTTGGCCCAGAGCTTAAAATAACTGCAGTCTGTAGGCGACCGCAGTGGGGGCAGCACAGGCCTCAACGCTACAGGCCTGGACCCGGTTTGTGATTGGGGTTCTGTAATCCTGGATGACTTTTGTGTTTTGGATTCAGAAACCAGACTTTCCATGAGCTTATGTTTCTCGTGAATAAATAGTCCTGGCCAGGCTTAGAGTGAAATTCTCCCGCTTGGCAGGTGGGTGGTGAGGGCTCTTTGTGGAGAGGGGGTGGGGCTGCAGGCCTGCCACCTGTCTGGCCTCGTGCGGGCTGTCACCTGTGTGGGCCACCCTCCTTGACGTCCTGGAGGTCCAGTGGTGAGGGGTCTGGACCGGAAGCTCCCTGAAGTGCTCCCTGGCCAGATGTGCCACGATGTGAGAACATCAGCCCCTCCCTTCCTCTTCTGAAGGCTTGGCTGGCTTCTCCAAGTTACTTCTGTTCCTTCCAGTTAGGGGTGGTTAGAGCCCCGGTTGGCGCTGAGTGGCTGCCGCCTGTCTTGAACTGGGCTGCCTGTACTTGGGAGCACGAAGCGTGGTCCGAAGGTGCTGGAAGAATACAGAGTTGAACTTCTGGAGGCAATGACATGAGTTCTGTCTCTAGATTCACTTGGGGCATTTATTGAACACGTGTTATATACTCAGAATTTTATCAGGTATGGGGATGCAGAGCTAAGACATAGTGGCCCCTGAGCTGCAGGTGCTTATGGTGAGTCGTGCTCAATGAGAAGGCAGGGCATCTGAAGGCACGTCACTCCTTTGTTTGGGATGGGGCTGCATCCCGTCACTAAGGTCTCTGTTTCTCTTCAGAGGCCCCTGTCCCCACCCCTACCACCTCTTGGAGCTGTGGTGGGCTGGAGGGGTTGCCCTACAGTGTCTGTATCCGTGCCTGAGGCATTCCTAGGATTGCATCTGTATTTGC